AATTGTATATGGTTTGGAAATGTAAAATAGACATAAATGAATCGATATAAAACGGTTTTTAACGTGAGGTCCATGGATCCTAGGAAATCCATGGTGGCTTCAAAAAGTCCATGGAGTAGGCCTACATGTGAAAAATTAGCATTTATGTTTTGATTTTTTCTTTTTTTAAGATTATGTTTTATTATACTATGTGTATAACATATATTTACGAGACAATGCAATCTCTATAAATAAAGCACATAATGCGAGCAAAGTTTATGTGTTTATGTGAATATTCCTGGGTAGGGGATCATACCTTTCAAAAGTTCGTGACTCTAAAAAGAAAAATGGATTTCATCATGTCTTGTTAAAGATATCATGCTAATGCCTGTTTTTATGTTTTATTTAGGTAAGTGCTGTCTGTTTATATAACCATCAGCATGTTATCTATCAAATAATTATCTGTCTTTTCATCTACATCTTTCTATCTACCCATCTGCTTATCTGTCTATCTATTTATCTATTCATCTGTTTATGTAAGTACCCATCTAACCATCAATCTCGATCTACTCATATAATCATCTCTCTAGTTATCAGTCTATCTGTTTATCAATCTACGCATGTATGTATGTATATATGTATGTATGTATGTTTATATGTATGTATGTATGCATACATGTATGTATGGATGTATGTATTATATGCATGTACGTATATATATGTACATATATATATGTATGTTTGCAGCTATCTATCTATCTATCTATACATACACACATACATACACACACACACACACACACACACACACACACACACACACACACACACACACACAAACACACACACACACACACACATATATATATATATATATATATATATATATATATATATATAATATATATATATATGAATGGAATAAAACTCTACGTGTTGATACTATGGTGGAAAAACCCACAATAATAAATTGGATATAATATATAATATAATAATAATTGGATATATTAAAATATATAATATGTGTCTGTCTATCTATACAAGTATATAAGGCCTGTGTATCCATGTATCTATATGCACAGACTGCATCATCATATCCATATCATAAAGGTTTCCTTGATTTCTTTTCCATATGTTAGACAAATTGTGTACTATTGCAAAGTGATATCACTTTAATAAACAAAATGTGTTTGAATAAATCTGAACATCAGGCAGCGCATGCATTATCCGGCAAAATTTACTTCCGTAGAGCATTATCTGGTATTAATGAAAATAGTAATTAAATGCATTCTATGTTAATCAAAATCATATCTATTGCCCATGCATTCAAGAATAAGCCTTTCGTCCATGGATTCTAAAAGCTATCTGTGTTTTTAGATAAGCAGTTCGAAGCCAAGGAAGAGAAAAGAAAGAAGGAAAGAAAGAAAGAAAAGATCATAAGGTACAAGCAAGCTGTGGAGGTTGTGGCTGAACAGTTAGCACTGAGGTGATAGTAGGTAAAATATATTTCATTTACCTATAATTCTTTCTATGAACCCAGGGCTCACATTGCTGCATACCGCTGATCTATATATCTACTACATTACCTACATCACCTATGATCCATTATCACTGTCGTCCAGTATAAGTTGGTCATGTTTAGAGAAAAGCGTTAGTTTGTCCACCTTCCCACACTCATGCCGCTGTATGTATGTCTGTTGGCATTTCGCTGATTTATGTAGTGTAATAGCATAACCTTCCTTTTTTATGCTGCCGGGGATGCGGTGTGTATGTTTATTCACTGTTATACATGTATGCATAAAACACTTTCATACACGCCTGGATGTATACGTATACTTGTAGGCGCACGCAAACAAACACACGCACGGCAGACCTATACAAAAGAAAAAAAAAAAAAAAAACACGAACATATAGCTCCCCCAAACATTCATACTCCCCATCATACACAACACACCCACCCCACCCACCCACACGCAGCACAACCACACTCAGCCCCAGACCCACCCACCCTCACAAGCCACAGCCCCCTCCCCCCTCCTACTCTCTTACCCAACCGTCATGATCGTCGTCGTCCTCCACACATGGCCAAGGGCGTCCCCCGGAGACCTCCTGTTCAGATTCCTTCTCTGGGGTCTCTGAGGGGGTCCCCTGAGCGTCCATTTATTCGGTTCACGTGACCCCGCCGCGTCCCGGACCCCACTGGGAAGAGTCATCAGATATCAGCCGAGCGTAAATTTTGCCGTTGAGCTGTTTTGTAATAAGGCTATTCGCTTAACGGTTTTTTTTTTTCGCTTATATCATATATCGCGTGTTGCGTAAGGTATTACAAGTATGATATAACTCTCTAAATAAAGTACATTGCGTATATATGTATACTTGCATTTCTTTTTTTTTTTTTTTTTTTTTTTTTTTTTTTTTTTTTTAGACAAAGGATTGCGCAACATTAGGAAAACAATCAGGACCAAATCACCCTAGTTTGGCTTTATGATTATCGTCGTTTTCGTTATTACTTATTCATTCCATCCACTTATTCACCTTTCCACTCGTTCATGAAAATGGGAAACTTATTCCTTCTCACACTTGCGCCCATCGTGTAATGCTTATTTGAAGCGGCCATAAAACTTATCAGATCTAGCAAAATTGTGGACGGAGGCTATGCAGATGTTAATGTGTACGTGCGCTTGTGTGTGTGTGTGTTTTGTGTGTATTAGTGTATACACGAATGTGTATCTGGGACATCCATGTCTCCTAAAGTATCACTATTCAGTTCCCATTAGGTAATGCGTTCCCTGTGGTATCAAATTCGTTAAACTCTGTCATGTTTTATTTCCATTTTTATTCCGACTATCATTTGAAGGCGAGTGAAACAGTGACCGGTAGACGAACTTACTCTAGCTTCGGGTAAAAAAAAAAGAAAAAAAAAAGAAAAAAAAAGAAAAAAAAGAAAAGAAAAAAAAAGAAAAAAAAATATATGTGTGTGTGTGTGTGTGTGTGGTGTGTGTGTGTGTGTGTGTGTGTGTGTGTGTGTGTGTCGCATTTTTATTATCAAATTATTATTGTTATTGTACAGAGCCTAGTCTCTGCATTAGGGTATATATTTCCTTTTTCTCTCCTCTTCCTCTTACTCATACCCTATTCTCCTTGATTTTCCCTCCTCCTCTCCCTCTTCATTTTGATTCTTCTTTCCTATTTCTTCTACCTTCATCTCATCTATTTCTTTCATGTCTCCCACCCCCTTTCCCTCTATTTCGCCCTCTGCTTATCCATCTCATATGCCTCTTTCTCTTCCTTCTCCTCTAACCCTCTTCCACTCCTTTTCCTCTCCTATCAGTCACTTTGTCTCCCTCTTCCCCTACTCTGCCTCATTCTTTTCCTTCACTTATCCTTCCTCTCCTCTTCCTCCCTTTCCCCATTTCTTCATATCTTCCTCTCTCTCTCTCCCTTCCCATCCCTCTTACTTCCCCTCCTCTCTCTCCTCTTTCCTCTCTTCCTCCCCTCCCCATCTCACTCTCCTCTCTTCTCTCATTCTCACCTTCGGAATGGTGCACACGGACACATTCCATCCCCAGAAGTGGAGGATCTGTCTCCTGAGTATGACCTCGACGTTCTCCTTCCCTCCGAGGTCGCTCCGCTCTCCTCGCAGACGGCCTCACCCTCTCCCGACGAAACCGCTCTCCTAAGCCCTCTCCTGCGCCCTCCTCTCCGTCGCCGTTCTCGAAGCTTCTCGTCTCGGCTTCGGAGTGTTTCGGGTCTTCTCGTTCTTCGTGACCTTCCTTCGTCTCGGCTGTTTGCTTTGGGGCGTTTCCTTCGCCTGGGTCACTAAGCGCTCCTTCGTCTGCGTCGCCGCGCTCGTCGTCGTCTGTGTCATCGTCGCGTCTTCCGATTTCGTTTCCGTCGGTCGTCTTTTCGTCTCCGTCGGTCGTCCCTCCAACCTCCTTTGGTCGTCGGTCGTCCCTCCAACCCTCCTTGTCGTCCCTCCAACCTCCTTTGTCGTCCCTCCAACCCTCCTTTGGTCGTCCCTCCAACCCTCCTTTGGTCGTCGTCGTCCCTCCAACCCTCCTTTGGTCGTCCCTCCAACCCTCCTTTGGTCGTCCCTCCAACCTCCTTTGGTCGTCCCTCCAACCCTCCTTTGGTCGTCGGTCGTCCCTCCAACC